GTTGAAGGCTTCTTCCCATCATTCTCGGCCCATGAGGCCTTCCATTCGCTCTGTGATGTTGAAGGCTGCTTCCCATCATTCTTTGCCCATCGAGTCTTCCAAGCGCTGTGCGATGAAGGCTTCTTCCCATCATTCTCGGCCAATTGGGTCTTCCATTCGCTCTGTGATGTTGAAGGCTTCTTCCCATCATTCTCGGCCGATGGGGTCTTCTCATCGTCGTCCTCTGCCGCCGGCGTCTTCGACTGCCACCGGCGTCGCCCCTGCTGATGCGGCCTGTTCCAACGTCGATGCGGTGCCGTCTCCCCGGAGTCCATGGTGTTGCACATGGTCTCCTGGAACTCCGCTACAGTTTCTTCGCTTGGCTTGCACGCAATTCCCGCATCTTCCCAAGGGGGGAGTGGGAGAGCCTTCAAGGGCAGCGGAGGCCAGGCCTCTGAGGAAGATGCCGCCGCCATGGCTGTGGCTGCAACTTCACCTTCCCATTCTCCTCCAAACAGCATGTGGTGCCACATGTTGGCGAGCTTTGCCAGTTCACTAATTGCAAAGTGCTCAGAGTCGCCCAAACTCATCACGGCCACCTCCTCGAAGCGCGTTTCTAATTTAAAGCCCGCCTGTTGGATCCACTCACGGATCATCCCCATATTGTCATCATAGACAGGGGTGCATGTACTGAACTTGTCCGCATAGCCTCCCATGAAGAAGACCGTGCGGTGGACCTTGGTGCGTAGCAGCTGGAAAAGTTCATCCCACATCCGTTGGTGGTTCCTCAATCGTTGCGCATTGCTACGCATGGCGACCTTTGGGTGCTCGTTGCCAAAATAGCTGATTCCCAAGGTGCCGTAGTTTCCGCTGTTCTTCAAATGTTGAATGAAGTTCTTCACACCTCCGCCGCAATAGGGCGTAAGCTTGATTTTCCCCTTTAAACTCTCATGCTGGTCTACGAAGTGAGACTTTCGTCTCTTCTTTGCTCCGTTGGTGACCATCAGACTTGAATCTCCAATCAGTCCCACCTCAATGTCGGCGGGCACCGAACCCGCCATCCTCCGACCTCTAAGCGGTGCACCCAGCGATGCTAGAGCCGCACAGCCGATTGATGCTTGAGCCAAGTTCAAGCGATACCAGAATGCAATTCTCTGTGGAGGTTTCCTGTTCAGTCGCAAGCAGTTTTTGAGCAAAGCTCATATGACCCTCTCTGCAGAAGAAAGATGAAGAAAGGATTGCTTCTCATCTTCTCGCCTTGACAACCTTCTTAGCAGCGATCACTTCGATGACCTGGAGCTAGTGAAAGGCTGGTGAAGCAACCTAGATTCTAGATTACAACCTTCAAGAGCAACACGACGAACAAACCTAGATTACCCTTTGACATTCATTAAGCAACTCAATGCAACTCAACGTTTTGCAAATGATCGTTTAGAATGTTTGGAGTAACAATCACTGAACAAAGCATTGATGTTTGGACCCATCACTACATTCAGCATGCAATGCACTGTCACCAGTCAAGCCTCATCAGCCCTGGCGCGTGAACGGGAACAAACACGGGAATGCTGCCACAAAGAGACTTACTTCAGATCTGACTCTGAAAAATAGTAGCCATGATTCTATAGTGTGGCTCTCAGCCCACACGCAAGATGCGCACCCCCTGTGGAGTGAAAGAACAAGAGTCGGGCACAGTCAAAGTTGTTTTCCGAACTTTCTCCATGACTCCATCATCTTCCCCGCGAAGGAAAGTCAGGGACTCCAACCAACCCAGCAACAAGCCTTCTTGATGGGTTGACAAGGTGTCGACAACAAAGTTACTCTCAAAAATGCCAGCAACAATGAAACGGTATTAGGGTGGAGGCCCTCGCTCTTAGGGTGGAGGCTATCGCCGGCAGCAAAAAACACTGTCTTCGAGAGCGATCGAACAATTCTCCGAGAGCCAAACCTAACAACCTAACAATTTCCCATGGGTTTTGGCTCTCCGATGCGCCATGTGTCAACCTTCGCGCCAAACGGCCCTGACCTATGTGGCGTTGGGTTAGAGCTTTGTGCCACCAAACCTCGCTCTGTGCTTTAGCGCTGGAGCGTTTGAAGGCGTCAGCGAAGGCCCCCTGGTTCGGGGAGAAAATGATTTTGTTGAGCAACGTTGAACTTGATTAAATTTGTGAATCTTCCGGAGACAAGGCACATTCCTAAAAGTCTGAGATTCACCCATTGCCTGCTATAGGAACAATTTCCAAGCTTGGACCCTCCGGGTGTGGGAAGATCGATTCATTTTACAGTTCCAGTCTGAACAGCCAACTTGCTGCACAAACTCAAACAAATTGAGTCAAACAACTTCAAACCGCCAGATCTGCACGTGGGCCACAGACTCTAGTCCTGTACTGTATATACCTGCCCCTGATGAAAGAAGCAAACGCACCGAAATTCCATCCAACGGCCTATAAAGTAATTTGGTGCAACACAGTGGAAAAAAGTGCTTGGGGACTTTGGGATGGCCTATCTGCTCAAAAGTGACCCGTCCCAGTGCACAAAACAGGAAAGACTGGCCAAGGTGCTGTACATTGAACGGGAAGACACCTCCTGCAGTGTGCATGTTGGAGGCCATCGTTATTAGGTTGGAGGCCATCGCTATTAGGTTGGAGGCCACCGCTATTGGGGTGGAGGCCATCGCGATTAGGGTGGAGGCCGAAACTACTAGGTTGGGGGCCATCTGAATGAGGTCTCAACATGTCTCAGCTATGTGTTAAAAGTGGATGCGCAGGATGACCCAATCGCATCTTTGAACCGCTTAAATTCTAGAATAAATGAAACAAATCGTCAATAACGGATTGCATAACCACCATGCCAATTTTCAATCTGCGTCGTCTTTGTACAAGTTGTCTGGAACTCTGAGTCATGAATGCAGGATCTGAAGGATCACCCATCCTACGCAGAAACTTTCACTCCATCACAGGCTATGGCATGTGTATGGGGAACTGTCAAGCATCTAACCCCTTCCAAGAGGGGGGATCACCGCAACATTGTCTACCACTCTGAACCCGCCGAAACTCAGCGCGCCTTCTCCAAACTGGCCTCTTGGAGGGCACCAGTGAGGGTGGCTCTGACGCAGTGTTTGTGGGTCTTTCATCGATGATCATTGGAATCATTCAGTGGGTATTTGGCGCCATAAAGCAAGGACTGGTATGTCTGGTAAGAGATGGTAAGAGCAAGTCACTGACTGGTATAGTATAGGACAACAACGTGTACCTAGCCCAACATTTGAACACTTCATACCTCCTACAAGTGTCAGCCAAGCCCTCAGCCAATGCTCGATAAACTACTGGATGTCATCCATTCGATCCTCAGGTTGGGCTCTGCCTTATTCTGCCTTATTTGTCCTCATTAATCCACCGAAGCGAGAAACCACTCCGGCCTCATGGCTGGGCTCTGCCTTGGGCTCTTCCTCCCCTCGGACCGTCGTGTCTGCCTGAAGACTTCCAGCTACTGGTGCAGTGTTGGATCTGAGGGAGGGTGGCGTGCAACTAGCTAAGCGCTCAGTGAAACAAACACCTGGAAAATGGGACGGGGTCTCTGTTTGCGCTATGAAAAGCAATATCCAATCGCGATGGTTGCTCCTCTTCAAATCTGTTCAAATCATACTTCTTTTTTTGACTTCAAATCGAGTGCTCATCAGCTCACCAGCCACCACGTTCTTACCATCCTCCCCAGCGTTGCCAATTGTTGCATGCCCATGTGGCCTTCCAATCACTCTGTGATGAAGGCACATCCCAATCATTCTCGGCCCATGGGGCCTTCCATTCGCTCTGTGATGTTG